AGCTGACACGGCTTGCGTCACCCAGAGTGTCCTCGGTGCTGCAGCTCCGGAGGAGTTTCAGGAAGCCGATCCAGTGCAGGGATACAGGGCAGACAGGAACAGACAGCTGACAGGATCCAGGCTTCCAGGCAAAAACAAGCTCCCAGACAGGTTCAGAGTTTGACAGAGTTCAGAAGCATGACCAGACGGTCACGCACAGGAGCAGACAGGATCAGATGCAAATGAGCAGGCTCAGTGGAAGAGGGAAGCCGAGACAGGGCATGGAACCAGAACTTGATGCAGGAACTTTAAACTGGTCTCCTCCCTGGAGCCAGGCTTACTGGGATAAAAACTGAACCTCCCCGCATATAGAGCCAAAAACCCAGAGGACTCCGTGGGGGAGGAACAGTGGACGATCAGGAGACGAGACAAACACAAAAACCATCTTTCCACTGGCCGGCAGGATCCAAAACATGAACCAAGGAATCAATATTACAGACTAACAGAGAAAAAAATAATGATCTGGCCCCAAATGCTCAGGCTGAACAGAATATAACCCCGAAGAAACAGGTGAGGGGAATGAATTATAATTGAGGCAGGGAAGGAAAACGAGTGGGTGAAAGGAATTACTAATTATGGAAGAGCAAACAGGCCGACAGGCTGACAGCAGAGGCTGCGACAAGACTGGGCCAGCTCTGGAGCTCAGAGCAGACGATGAGAATATAGTGCAAGAAGTGAGAGCACCAGAACCAGGCAGAGAATACGTATGCCCTAAACCAGCTCTGAAGCTGCAAGAGGAGGATAAAATAAAAGATTTGTTTCAAATGCCACCCACAGACCTCTAAAGATCATTCCTTGTCAACATTGATTTCTCAAATCTAAATTAAAAAAAGATTTGTCTCCACTTTACTAGTTGACCCTACATCACATCATCCCGTTGTTGACTAGTTGATGCCACATGAATTGACAGAAAAGTTTGAAAACTTGATTTCCAACAAAATCCAGCACCTTGATATCAATTCTCAGTAATACTTTGGCAAACAAAACAAACAAACACAAACTGAAAAGGGGTAGGTTCAACCGGATGTGCTGAGAATCAGGTGCAGGGATGATAAACCTCCATTATTGACCAACGGTTGCCAAGGCAACATTGCTCTATGTGTGCAGAAAGCTCTGAAAAACACTTAACCTCTTTTAAAATGAAGTGAAATAAACACTGAAAGCATATGTCAATTTCAATTATGATTTGTGCCACCATTATCAGCCATTACGTCCAGAGCTTAACCATTCCACTTTGACCCACAATCAAACAGGAAATGTTCGACCATGAAGGATACATCAGACCCAAACCTCAAAACTAGAGAGAGGAGAAAACATTTGTTGGTTGATTTGTGAAGAGGTCTCATTACTGTGTAGTGACTTAATTGGTCCACAAGTATGGCCTTCGAAGGATGCTGTCATGATTTAACTGAAGATCTGACCCAAATGCAGATAAACCAGTCCAGAGAGACCAGGGTAAAAGTTTAACAGGTTTATTGAGAAGCTTGTGGAGATTCCAGTGTTGCTCTGAACACTGCTCAACCGGAACTCAAAGGTAAGGGGAAGACACTGCGGTTAGTTCAGGTTCAGTGGGAAAGTTGATTCTCGAACTTGAAGAGGAGAAAAGGTTTGCAGACTCACGTTTCCAGAAAAGTGGTTGACTCTTTGACTCCAGTTGGTGTGGGGTGTTCCAGGGTTTGTCTCATTCGGTGGAGGGCGGACAGGGTTTACCCAGATACCCAGAATGCGGTTGTTTGTAGGAGAACAGAGAAACTGACTGTCACTCAGATTTCCTGCGGTACTTGAACGGACTGTGGTGCAGATGAATCCCTTGCTCAGTGAGAAACTCAAACAATCCCTTGGAGATAAGTGGATCCAAACCTCCAGTTTGAATCCTCAGCTCAGTTTGAGGCTCAGTTAATCTTTCCAGGGACAGAAGGTCCGAAACGTCCAGTTTGCATGATGACTTCCTACCGAGAGGCAAAGACAAAAATAGCAAGATTAAAACTCAGGTTGACAAAAACTCAGTTTGACTCAGCAAAACTCAGCTTGGTACCCAAAACTGGCAAACACTCTGGCGCCGAGGTATTGTCAGTCAGCAGCTTAAGAGCACTCTGTTAAGGAGGTAACCCTTTGCAGGTGTGTGAGGAGGTGAATCAGGACCAGGCGCCGCCTGGTGGAGGAAGGAAGACAAACACACAAAACACAAACCACACAGACAGGAGTCCTAATAGATGCAGCCCCTAAATTCAGACACAGATAAAGTTATCTGTGGGGCGTGTGTTTGAGTCGTTTCAGACCTGAACATTAAGCTATGATGACGACAGTGTTTACTGGCAGCTGTACCAGCATGTCCTGTTTGAACCAATATAATAATTCAACTGGAAAAACAACCATTCAATCACTCTGGGCAGCAAAGGGTTAGTTTTAGAACAAATACTGTAGAACCAAATAAGCTCATATTGAAATATAAAAACATGCACAGTAACATTAAAATGTTTATTTTGGTGTGAGTTACACCTAAATGATGCACATCCTTCGTTTTCTGGGGCAATATCAGTCAGCATATCTTTTTACTGAAAGGAAATGATCTTTAAAAAAAGGTATTTTTGTTTTTTCTCACGTTATCTTTGATATAAATACTTGTTTGATGATTTAAAAAAATATTGTCAAGAGAGAAATATATGTTTTTTCCACACTGTACAAGTCTGTGCTTGTCTGCAGATACAATTGTTTTTTAATCTCGGGGTTTAAATTTAAGATATAATTGCACTCAGGCCATAGTAGTTGCTAAATGTGCTCCTGTGACACATGCTTTTATTTATCCTTATCTCTTTCTGACACCCTTCTAGATAAGTTTAGGTCCAGGTGTGAACAAAAGCATAATGAAAGTTCACCTGCCAAGTAAGCTGAATCTTGGGAGGGATGACATAATTAGTTTCTTCATGATTCAGCTACCTAGCAAGGTCAGTAACTATCTATTTCTATCAACCTACAAAGTTCTCAATGAACCTTTGGACAGCGGTACCTTGGTTATGATGTCTTCTTTAGTTTTGAAAGAGTGTTATGCTATAGAATTTAGAAATGTTTTTTAAGACTCAAGCTACACTCAACAAAAATATAAATGCAACTCTTTTGGTTTTGCTCCCAGTTTTTATGAGATGAAGTGAAAGATCCTAAACTTTTTCCACATACACAATATCAG